GGCAGCCATGTAAATGTAAATGAAGCCGCGATCATTTAAATTGCGGCTTCATTTACCTTTGCTGAATAAACAAATCAACATGCCTCTGCCGACAGAGGCATGTAGTGTAGACGTACCCTTAGTGATTCCAGCTCTTTGCCACCACCTAGGCCAGCCAAAAGATTCCAGCTTCCACTAGAATAATAAAGAGACTCCTTATGGAGTCAGTTTTAGATCTATCCTTAGAACAGGGGGGAAGGAGACAGGTTGAACCAATCTTACAGCTCACACCTGGCGGGCATGTAGCTGGCTGGCTCAAGCCCCTTTCCCCCAACTCAGTCCACTTGAATCTGGAAGGGGAAGGCTTGTCCATCTGAGACTCTTTACAATGGCAGTGTATCTCCTGCAAGCACTGGTGTCATATTTTACAATTCCTACATTTAGGGCTAACATGGTTTGTGACCCCACTACAGCCAAATTAGTTACAATACACCACATTCCATTCCAACAACTGACCATCCATTGGGCCTATAGTACTGGCTGAACTGGACCCCGGGCTCCTTCCCCATTCCAGCATGTTTACATTTCAACAGTTAATTATCTTGCAGGGCTATACAACTGAGTGAGCATAACCACCCCCAGGGCTGCTCTCCCCCTTCAGCGGGCTGCATTGAAAGCAGTGCTTCAGACCCTGCTTACCCTACATTTAAAGGCAGAGGTACAGTGGGGGTTAGCTCCCAGGGCACCACACTGCCCCCAGGTGCTAACCCCGTGGTGGCTTTGCAATTTAATGTAATAGGAGCTGTGCTCCCAGCTCCTCCTACATTCAAACTGCAGAGCTGCAATAGGGGTAGCGAGTGCCCCCCTCCCCCCGCATTGACTAATTGATGGCAATTCCATTGACTGCTCAATTAGTTGTTTAATCACAATTTAACATCCCTATACTGCACCCAAACGGTAGGCCCGGAGGCCTTTTCACGACTTATTCAGTCAGGCATGGGACTGACACTGCGCACACTCACCAAGAATGCTCCAGGGAGACAAGATGGCCTCCTTACACTAGCACAGCTTTGGTATCATGGCACTGGCATCTAGAGAGGTAGCAAGAGCAAAAAATTGCTGAGTCCTTTGCACAGAACATTCCAGCTTCTCCTACAACAGCACAGAAATGACCATAGCACCGATTACCGTTGGAACTGACACTCACCTCAGATTTGACACGCATGTGGACTCGTTTTCATTGCCAAACATTACAGCTCCCTGCCTTACCGTGGGCAGAGAAACTGCCTCCCTCAGCAGGACTGTCTCTATGTAATAGGATTCTCAGCTAGGGGGAATTAGTGGAGCTCCACTAAGTCACTGGAGCTGTGCAGATTTACACCCACTGAGAATTCAGCCCACAGTATGTATTGGTCCAGCTCAGGATTGGTGTTCTATAAACCACTCCTGTGCAGCTTGTAGCCAGCAGAACCCCAAGTGTGTGATGCTCCCAGGGAACCTTCCGTGTGGACAATGGGAATCCTTGATTATGGAGCCATTCAGCAGAAAGGAGCCAACAGGAACTGCAGTTTGAAGAAACAGTTAGGTTGTCTGATTTTTGTGTTCACGTTAATGAACAGGTCAGGTGCTCAGAAAACACATGGACGGCAGCAGAGTGAGAACCTAGACCAGTGGTCAGGTCACTAACCAGTAGATCAGGATTGTCCAGAAGATCTTGGAACCTCTGACAGGTGATCTGACTGGTTTGGCCAGGAAGCTATCAAGTGCTGGCACTTCAGTTTCCCCTCCCCCCACTGTCATGCTGCTCCTGCCCTCTGCCTTGTAGCTGCCCATAGGAAGCCTCCTGCTTGCTGTGCAGGGTGTGGGAGGGAGAAAGATGTCAGGGTGATGTCAGGTTGTCCCTTCCTCTCCCCACTCCTGTTCCCTGTCTCCACTCAGAGAGAAGGGGATGGAGAGAGTTTGGCAATGCAAATTCTCTCACACACTGTGTGTGTCTCTGTCACTCTCACAAACACACTCTGTCCTTCCCTCTCCTCTCCTGACCCAACAAGTACATGGGGGGTTGTTACTACTTTTACTGCTTGCAAAGTGGGTTAGTTTTGGTTTTTGACTGGTCTGTGCATTTCATAACTTGCATTTCTCCATTATGTCTAAATGTAATTCTTTGAGTAGTGAGTTCTAAAATGCCAAACTTGTCATGTCTGGAGTAATTATCCCTGTGGAAATTGAGCTTCTGGAAGTGGCTGGCTTGTCCCTGCAGCCCCTGAGAGGGGCAGAGCCAGGGGGTCTCCACATGCTGCAGCTTCCATTGATCAATAATGGGGAACCGTGGCCAGTAGAAGCTGTGGGGTCACTGCCTGTAGATGAGGGGTAGCACATGGATCCACTGCTGTACATGCCAGCTGCTGCTTTCAGGAGTGGTGCAGGGCCAGGCAGGAGTAAGCCTGCCTTAACCCCACTGCTCCATCCCTGGGGCAGCTGTCTGGCTACTCCTGGGGAGTGGGATTAAAACCCACCACCTTAGGCCACTTAGGAGCCCAGCCCATGGTCCCTTAGCTTGCCTTCCTAATGCCAGGGCCAGGTCCATCCTTGGGGCAGCCTGTGTTGGCTAACCAGCTGCTGCCTGAGTGGGATCAAGCCCATGATCCTGTGCTCCAGAGGCTGATGCCCTGTCCCAACTCCATACCAAGTCCTTATCCTGCTTTCCAAATGTGGGCGCCAGCTCCATCCCTAAGGCACCCTGTGTTGGCTGTCCTGCTGCTTCCAGGGTGGGTGGGATGTGGATCCTCCACCCTGTGCTCCCTAGGCAAATGGGATTGCTTTTGAAGGGTGAATGTAGGTGGGGTAGGTCTGCCGGTCAGTGCAGATGGCTCCAATAGCACAGGAAAGATGACTAGCCAGATGGGAACAGCAGTATTGGGTGGATGGGTGCATGCAAGAAAAATAAATAACTGCAGGGAGGCTGATTTAAAAAATAAGTTATTTGTTTCTCTTCCTTTATAAATGTTATTGAGTGGTTTTACTGTCAGGTATAGTCCAGGGAAGGACCAGTCCAAAGGGAAGGGTTAATCATCATGGAGGACTGAGTCGAGTATGTGAAATTGTGACCTTTCCCTTTCAGTCAAGCCCATGATCCTGTGCTCCAGAGGCTGATGCCCTGTCCCAACTCCATACCAAGTCCTTATCCTGCTTTCCAAATGTGGGCGCCAGCTCCATCCCTAAGGCACCCTGTGTTGGCTGTCCTGCTGCTTCCAGGGTGGGTGGGATGTGGATCCTCCACCCTGTGCTCCCTAGGCAAATGGGATTGCTTTTGAAGGGTGAATGTAGGTGGGGTAGGTCTGCCGGTCAGTGCAGATGGCTCCAATAGCACAGGAAAGATGACTAGCCAGATGGGAACAGCAGTATTGGGTGGATGGGTGCATGCAAGAAAAATAAATAACTGCAGGGAGGCTGATTTAAAAAATAAGTTATTTGTTTCTCTTCCTTTATAAATGTTATTGAGTGGTTTTACTGTCAGGTATAGTCCAGGGAAGGAACAGTCCAAAGGGAAGGTATGAAAGGGTTAATCATCATGGAGGACTGAGGCGAGTATGTGAAATTGTGATCTTTCCCTTTCAGTGTGGAAATGGTCTCTCTCTGGATGCTTCATGCTCCCTTAAGGGATTTGTAGAGAGGCCAACTCTTCCATTTAGTTATGATGCGTCACTCATTGACTATCCTCTCCAGAGCTCAAACCGCTTCGCAAAAGACAGTTTTCACATCACCCTGGTTTCTGGTTTTCCAGAGGGGTTGCAAAGAGATGAAGGGACTTGCCCCAATCACCCAGTAAGACAACACTACCTTCTCTAGGTTAACAAGAAAACAAAAAGTTGTTGCAAAAGCAACTATACACCTATGTCTACACTGGCAACTTCTTGTGCAAGAACAGCTGTTCTTCCGCAAAAGCTTGCTGGTTGTCTACACTGCACGAGCATGCTTCCAGAAGTAACTTTACAGTACAGTGTTGGAAAACAGGGCTTCTTCTGGAAGAGTTATTCCTCTCCCCACGAGGAATAAGCCCTCTTGCGCAAGAGCTCTTCCAGAAGAGGCCAGTGTAGACAGGCAACATGAATTTCTTGCACAAGAAAGCCCTATAGCTAAAATGGCCATCAGAGTTTTCTTGCGCAAGAGAGCGTCTACACTGCCATGGATGCTCTTGCGCAAAAGCACATCTCTTGAACAAAAGCACATGGCAGTGTAGACGCTCTCTTGTGGAAAAGTTTTTGCACAAGAACTCTTCCACAAAAGAGTTCTTGCACAAGAAGCTGCCAGTGTAGACATAGCCAGGACATTTATGGCAACGCTTGCTGTTAAAACCTACAAGCAGGACTGGTCTAAAAGGCAGCATAAAATGTAAGAAATGAGTGGGAAAAGAGTTTGCATCGGTATTTAATGCCACTGGGCAAAAATTGGGTC